GGAGCAGGTGTCCTCCTGCGCCTCACACTTGTTTACAGTGTGTCCGTAGTGCTGGCATTTGTAACAACGTTTCGGTCTGCAGTAGGGCTTGACGGGCACAGTTACCCACGCCAGTTGAGCCTCCTTGGGTAAGGTTGTGTGGTGTCCGATGAGGGCAGTGGTGTCGGACAGCTTCTTCACAACTTGGAGTTGCCCCTTGAGGAGCTCACTTAGCTCTGCTTGGTCCACGTGGGCAATTTCGGCATGGGAGATTACTCCCAGCTTCAGGTTGTCCCACTTGTAGGCAATCATTTTAAATGGAATGCCGTTGATGTCTGGGATCTCCGCGAGCTGTACTGGCATACCCTTCTCGGCGAAGGTGATCTTGATGTCACCATGGAGCTTCAATCGTTCCACCTTGGTAACCCCCACGATCTCATTAGTTTCAAAGAACTTCTTGAGAACTAGGAGGTTTAATTTCTTGGGGCAGGTCGGCGTATCCGGACGTATCCGCACCACGTTATCAAACTCGTAACCGTTCATGGTGAGAGAGGGTTAGAGAGTGGTCTCCCTGGCCAGGCATGGCCGTATTTATACAATTTACGAGGATCAGGATTTGGGGTGAACGTAGCGAGAGGGCCAATCACAGCGGCTTAAGCGTAAGGTGTGAAACGCTCTGATCCTGAGCTGGAGGTTGAAGATCGAGACTAGGTCGGCGATCATACCCCTACGTCCACTGCATAGACCTAGTCTCTCGGCGTAGCTGGCTGTACGCTGATTGGCTGGTAGGTGCGCGGCCGGAGCTCAGTTGGGAGTTGTAGGGGAGAGGATCCACTACAATACTCCCTCCTTCCCTCCAGGCGGTGTAGGAGACTTGTTGTCTGCAGGGTTGCATGGCACATGTAAGGCAGAACGGGCGGTGCATGCCACATGTGAGTCATAACGGCGAGGGCGTGGATAAGCCGGCCGCTAGAGGAGACAACTGTCTAGATACACAATATCTGTGGGAGTAGAGAGGGAGAAAAAGGGTGTGTGGAGGCGATGAATGTTGTGCTTCCCTCACGGCAGGTACAGAGTCGTCAGATGCGCCTGCTGGGGTGTGTGGGCCTGGGTCAGGAGCAGGGGCTGCGTCAGCAGAAGCGGATGAGGGCTCGTGACAGCAGCTGGGTCCACGGCAGCAGCAGGGTGCAGGACAGTAACAGGAAGTACCTGAGGGAGAAAAGAGGGGTGTGTGGGTCCGCACTCAGGCGCATGGGCCGCTTCGGGAGCAGGGGCTGCATCAGGAGGAGCGGCAGGGGGTACTGCTGGGCCGGGGGCTGCGTCTGAGGCAGGACGGGTGTGTTGGGGTCGGTAGGACGTGGTGCTTGGGGCAGGAAGAGGAGCAACTGTCTGCTTAGAGACAGTTGCTGTAGAGCCGATGAGAGCTGCCTCTGTGTGGATAAGCCAGTCTTCCATGTTGCTTGAAGACTGGGAGAGTGATCGGTTTCTCCTCCATCCTGTGTTAGTGCGAATCTCCGGGGGTCACCGTTTGTGGGGTATAATTTGTGTTTGTGTTAACACTCAGGATGGGATGGAGGAAGGAAACTCACAATGCGCTTTTTGTATATATTTTGTTGTACAGTGCAGTGCTTTGGAGTGACTAGGTGAGGAGAAGCCTGCTTAGAGGTCCTGTGGGGCGAGGAGGTTTCTGAGGAAGCTGGGTGGTGAGGAGCTGTGAGAGATGTTGCTGGTCCTGTAGCCGAGTGTAGAATGGTCTCCCTTGCTTTTTGTTATTGTTGTTGAGATTGTTGGACCGTAGTCTGACACGGGCCTTTGCCTATAGGAGGCCCGTTCGGTGGTTCTGGCTGGAGCTCCTGGAGCAGCCAGACCGGATTGGGATTGGAGGTTGTCCTACCTGCAGATATGGAAGGATACTGCAGGTTGCAAGTGTGAGCGGACCCCCGATCAGTGGACGCTTACCACCAACCCCCACTCTTGAACGTGGTCAGTTTCAGAGTAACGCGCCCCCCGAACTGGGGTCTGCACTTGCTGGGAGAGGATACTTTCTAAGCTATCTGGGTGGTGGGTATCGTGTGATGACCCGGAGAAGGTGGTGAATGTGGTTTGTTCGGGCCTTTCGGGTTAGAGTGGTCGCTGGTGTTGTGTGTGCTTCTTGGGAGTTTTGAGTTCTGTTTCGGAGGCTTTGTGTGACTTCGCAGTCGAGGAGATAGTGTTCAAGTGGGTTGGCTGCTGGCTCCTGACAGTAGGTGCATTCCATGACGTCATTTCTGATCATCTGCCAGGAGCACTTGTACCCTAGTCGTAGTCGATGAAGGCTAACTTGGGTTTGTCTTGGTGTTTTCTTGTTTGCAAAAGGTTTCCCCTTTTGTAGCCGCCAGGTACCATTTGGCTGATTGGGAACCAGCGTTGAATGTGTGAATGAAGCTCTTTTGGATGTGGAGCTTGCTAGTCTTTCTGAGGTGATTCTTGATCTGTTGCACACTTGCTGGAACTTGAATGTGTACGCTACTAGAACGTGTGGCTGCCTTGGCTGCTTCATCTGTCACGTCGTTTCCCCCAATCCCTACATGACTGGGAATCCAGTGTAAGACGACTGGGCGGTTTTGTCTTTGGAATTCCTGTAGCTGTGCGAGGATCGAGGTTATGATGTGGACGTTGTCTCTTGGTTGACTGTGTTGCAGCGCCTGCATGGCTGATTTCGAGTCCGTGTGAATTATGATGGACTTGTTGTGTTGTGTTGCAGCGTGTTGTAGGGCCTTTGAGATTGCTACCAGCTCTGTTTGTAGGGTGGAGCAGTCATTAGAAAGTCTCCATCAGAGGGTCTAACCTTGGGTGTAGAAGGCCGCTCCGGATGTATGATGTTTTGGATCCACCGAGCCGTCTGTGAAGTATGATGCTGCATCAGCCGGTGTCTCGGTGGCTATGGCTTCCAGAGTTATTTTTTTGAGGTCCTCCTTCTGGAGGTTGGCTTTGCTATCACCTAGGTCGGTAATTTTGAATGTGGCTGGTGGAGGGCTCCATGGTGGAGGAACTACGTAACCATTGTCTCGTGTGTCTTGGTTGTTCTTGACGAGTGTTTCTGCTTGCAGGTGTCGGATGACCTCGCTTGCCTCGTGCGACCAGGTGGCCCCTCGCACTCTGTGGTCGAGGTGGAGGGAGGCACTGATTCGAATTTTGGCAGCTGTGGGCTTATCTGATCTACAGATTTTGGCGAGGAGACCGGCTGTCACCTGCTTGACTCGTACTGCCAGGGGTGGTAGTTCAGTTTCCATTTGCAAATTGCAAATTCTGGTCCACATGGGTGCTCCGAGCATGGTCCTGAGAGCATTATTTTGGATGACTTCTAGCTTAGCTATTTGGTCTTCTCTCAGTCCAATGAGTGCTGGAGCACTGTAATCTACCAGCAATCTGATGGCGGCCGTGTAGTAGGCTTTGAGCACATGAAGGTTTGCTCCTGCGGTTGTGCTGGTGAGCGACCTCATTATATTGTGTCTGCTCTTCGTCCTGTGCCTGAGATACTCGAGTTGCGGCTTGAAAGTGAGTTTCTGGTCAAACCAGATTCCAAGACACTGGTGGGTGTTGGTCCAGACTACCGGCGTGTTTTGTATGGAGAGCATCTTGTCTGGTGTGTCTGTGCAGATGGCCATCGCTTTCGACTTGGCTGGATTTATCTTGAGTCCAAGTCTGTTGCACTCCTCTTCTATAAGTTGGAGTGCGTGTTGCGTGTTGGCTAGTCTGTTTGATCCTCTTACTATAAGCTGTAAGTCGTCTGCATAGCATAGGATCTTCGCTGTTTGTCTGAAAGGAAGTTTGACAAGATTTTCCATCAGGACATTCAACAGCATTGGACTGAGGATGCCTCCTTGTGGGGTTCCGTTTTCATGGACCCTGTAGCTTGAGGTTGCTCCCTGAAAGCGTACTCTTGCTTCTCTCTGTGTGAGGTAGTTCTGGATCCACCCCAGCCACCTTCCTTTGACGCCTTTTTCAGCTAGCTCGAAGGCCTTCTCCAGGTCGAGGAAGACCACCAGAGCTGGTTTGTAGTCCACTGCGCTGAGTGTCTCGGCGATATTGTTGCCTGTGCTGGTGTTCTCGGTGTAAGCAAAAATGTGGGGGTGTGGGCTGCCTACTTTCCACTTGAGTCGGTTGAGAGCCATTCTTTCTCCCGTCTTCACTATGCAGCTGAGAAGGGAGATGGGTCTCGGTTTGTCTGGTTCTCTGAGCTTCGGATTGGGCTGTATATCTGCCTTCTTCCATTCCGGTGGAAGTCTTTGTGCTGTCCACGAAGCATTGATGACTTGTAGCAAAGCCTCGTGTCCGGCTTTTCCGGCATGGGAAAGCATGGAGTAGGTTATCCTGTCGGCCCCTGGTGCTGTGTCCTTGCTTCGTTTTAGCGACTTCTGGAGTTCTTGCTGGTTGAAAGGTCTGTCGATGTCATGTTCACAGTTGCAGGCCTCTTCGATCATCTGGAGTCTGACCTGTTGCAGACGCCGTTGTGTCTCCTCCACCTGTCTCGGGAGGTTTTTCGTTGCTGCTCAGTCAGAGAACAGTTTTGCAAGTCTTTCGGCTTCCTCTTCTGGGTTGGGATGGATTGGTGGTGGTGGTGTTGCCTTCCCAGATGTCCTTCGGATCTGGGCCCACATTTTGCCAAGGGAGGTGTGCTCGTTCAGTTCGGAGCATCACTTGAGCCAGCTTACGTTTTTTATTTCTTCCTTCTCTTCCCTGGCATCCCCTGTCAACCGGGGCCGTATTTATGTGATTTAGGAACCTCAGGATATGAGGTGCTCGTAGCGCGAGGGCCAATCACGGGAGCGGAAGCGTAAGGTGTGAAACGCTCTGATCCTGAGTTGGAAGTTGAAGGTCGAGACTAGGTCGACGATCGTATCCCTACGTCCACTGCATAGACCTAGTCTCTCGGCGTAGCTGGCTGTACGCTGATTGGCTGGTAGGCGCGCGGCCGGAGCTCAGTTGGGAGTTGTAGGGGAGAGGATCCACTACAGTGGAGCACCTTTCCTGTATAAAAAATGGGTCAAGTCAGGTTATTGTTGACTGATTGACTTTTTTCCTTTTTGTCTTTTTCCCATATTTTTTTATCTATTTTCTTCACTGTTTTTTTCCGTATTGTGTCCAAATAACAGTTCTAATTTTATTGTTTTCTGAAGACTGTGTTGTACAACAGTTATTTTCAAGACGCTGTACAAATGTATTTTTTAATCACAGTCCGGGAAAGCTAAACGCGTTAGCTATTCCATGAGTCTTAAAACGCCTTACAAAAAATGCCTTTAATGTCTCATATTCTTCTTGTGGTACCAGTATTATTATGCTGTATCATTTATGGCAATGATAATACTATAAATTTTAAACAAGAAACATATAACATTTCCCTTTTTTATTTTTGTAGTAATATATTTTTGTTTATCTACAGGTATCGTGTACCATCAGGAGCTCAGGTGAAGTACGAAGCATCCCTGTCATTGTACGTGTCACAGACATCAATGACAATGCACCAGTCTTCTCTGGGCTACCCTATGCTATTACAGTGCCAGAGGTAAGTTTGTTAAATGTACTTAGCATCCAAACGTTATAAAAATAAGCATGAGAACTTGAGAAGGGATGATGTAGTTACGGAAAATTTTCTTGATATATTGCCCAATTTCTATTTGGAGCAAATACTGTACAGTACAGTACAATATATAATTGTATCAGGATGGTGTTCTACAGGGAGTAAAAACGGGTAGCAGGAGAAAACGGCCCCAGTCGAAAACGGGCCAAACCAGAACGGCCCCACTCTAACCAAAATGGCCCACCCTGTGACCAAAACGGCCCCACCGTGTGACCAAAAGTGCCTAACTCTAACCTAACCTAACCTAACCAAAACTGAGCATGATAACAGCCATATTGACAGTCTGAGCTACTATGATTGACTGACGAACGGAAGCTGGTCAGAGAAAAATGCTGGCTGGGTAACTAACCAGAAGTGGCAACTGGTTGTTTGGTCCAACGTTTACATCGTTTACATTTGACAGTTGCCACTTCTGGTTAGTGAGTACAGACTCAACTTCGTGTTTTCTTCTTTCCTTGTGGTTATCAGCATATACCTGGATCACGCACACCTACAGTGATTTACTTGCATATATATATATATATATATATATATATATATATATATATATATATATATATATATATATATATATATATATATATATATATATATAATTGTACCCCACTTAACGCGGTCAATAGAACCCAGAGGGTCCAGCGTGAAGTTAAATCGGCGATTAAGTGAACAACAGAACATATGGGATTAATTCCAATAGAAACCCGCCCGACCCCCAAACTCCACTTTTTGACGACACAACTATGTTGTAGTAAAAATAACATCTTAATTTTATGATGGTACATGCACACAATTAATACTTAAGAGAAATAGAGAAATACAGTCGCCAAGTTAATGTCCATTCAAATAATGAACTCAACTCCCTCCCCCTCTTCACACTTCACTGCTGGCTCTTCCCTCTCTGAGAAATTTTTGGGGGAAAACCACTAAATTTTAATAAATAATACCTCAAACTAAAGTTAGGATAATACAATTGACATTGCTGGATTCCTTGTAAGACCAGGAATATTTTGAATATAAATGTCATATATTTTGCACAAAAGAGAACATATCTACTCAGAGAAACATTTTATCTAAAATTTGTATGTCTAATGCAAAATATATGATGTTTATATTCAAAATGATCATCAAATTATAAGAATTCCAGCAATGTAAATTATATTCTGACCGGGTAATTTGTATGAATTTTATGAGCTAAAACAAATATCTTCAGTTAATAAAAAAAAAAATATTCTTCACAGGGTAACAGATGGTCGGTCGGTCCCTCCCTCCCCCCCACCCCCCACCAACCGTCCCAAGGAGATGTGTGGGAAAACCAGAATATTTAACTTTAGTAATAAATAATACCTCAAACTAAAGTTAGGATAATATAATTGACATTGCTGGATTCCTTGTAAGACCAGGAATATTTTGAATATAAATGTCAATATATTTTGCACAAAAGATAACATATTTACTCAAGAGTAAACATTAGATCTAAAATTTGTAGGCTATGTCTAATGCAAAATCTATGATGTTTATATTCAAAATGATCACCAATTTGTAAGAATTCCAGCAATGTAAATTATATTCTGGCTGGGTAATTTGTATGAATTTTATGAGCTAAAACAAATATCTTCAGTTAATAAAAAAAAAAATATTCTTCACAACACTATCTGTCAATCAAAGTACCCCAACTTGCCTTCCCCCCTCTTCCAACCACGCGGTCAGTCCCAACCCTCCCTTCAAGAGATGTTGGGTGAAAAACTAAATTTTAACATTTAGTATTAAATAAAACCTCAGATTAAAGTTTGGATAATATAATTGACATTGCTGGATTCCTTGTAAGACCAGGAATATTTTGAATATAAATGTCATATATTTTGCACAAAAGATAACATATTTACTCAAGAGTAAACATTAGATCTAAAATTTGTATGTCTAATGCAAAATCTATGATGTTTATATTCAAAATGATCATCAAATTATAAGAATTCCAGCAATGTAAATTATATTCTGACCGGGTAATTTGTATGAATTTTATAAGCTAAAACAAATATCTTCAGTTAATAAAAAAAAAATATTCTTCACACTGTAACAGATGGTCGGTCGGTCCCTCCATCCCCCCCACCCCCCACCAACCGTCTCACCAGATGTGTGGGAAAACCAGAATATAGGTAGTTCTGCTATAACGCGATAATTGTGTTCTTGTAAAATATCGTGTTATAGAAAAATCGCGTAATAGAAATAACAGGGCTTATGGAGAAAATATGGTTAGGTGCAGATTACTCGAAATCGAAAAAATTTAGTAGTTAGCCTAACACAAAGGATAGCACAGTCTAAATAAATGTTACATTCATATCTAATAATGAAATCATACAATAAATTTAACACTTTACCTTGAAAAAATATGAATGTAACTTGATGGGGGAGAAGGGTGATTTTGAGGTTGATAACATCGAGCTTCTCTTCAAGTGTTATATCCTTTCTTTTACAATAATCACCGGGAATTCTATCATCAGAACGCTTTTTGGAGATATTCTTCTTTACCATATTCACAGTTAATACCACAAAATTGGAGAAATAGTAAGCAAAAATCGCGTTATAGCAAACAAGCGTTCGCGTTATACAAATATTGTTCCGAATTCATAAATCGCGTTAGAGCAAATTCGCGTTATCAAAACACGCGTTATAGCAGAACTCACTGTATTTACCTTTTTAGTAATAAATAATACCTCAAACTAAAGTTAGGATAATATATTTGACATTGCTGGATTCCTTGAAAGCCCAGGAATATTTTGAATGCAAATGTCATATATTTTGCACAAAAAATAACATATTTACTCAGAATAAACTTTATATCTAAAATTTATATGTCTAATGCAAAATCTATGATGTTTATATTCAAAATGATCATCATATTGTAAGAATTCCAGCAATGTAAATTATATTCTGGCTGGGTAATTTGTATGAATTTTATGAGCTAAAACAGGCAGTCAGGCAGGGTGGCGGGTGGGGGGTGGGGCGAATCTAAAAATAGCTCTCCAGCCGGACACTCACCGCGTATACGTGGAAAAAACCCGAGTTAAGTGAAAGTTCAGCTCTGGCAAGGCACCGAGTATAGGTAAAACGCGCTAAGTGAAACCGCGTTAGGCGGGGTAATACTGTACTGTATTTAGTTTATATTTAATGTTTTGTTAATTCTATTACCGGTATACAGTACTTTGTATGTACTTTTTCTGTGAGTTGGAACCAATTACCCAATATCCCATTGAAATAATAGATTCGGATAACGAATGACTCTGTGGAATGAATTGTGTTCGTTAGCCGAGGGATCACTGTATTTGTAAGTACAGTATTTACAGTTAAAAAAAGTAAAACAATGATTCAAGTAATCTATTTTTTAGATTACAGAATTTATGCAGAATACATGTTGCCATGAGAATTATTCATTCAATAAGCAGTCAATGACGGCCTGTAAGGTGTCTGGCATGGATGCCACAAGGTATCGCACCAGCTCCTCTCTACCTCTTTTAGTATGTTAATCGGGTTGCTTATATGTCAGCTATACTCCCATTATATTAGCCATCACATTACAATTGTAGGGATCAAGCCAAGGTTAAGTGTGGGTAAACCCGATGATAAAGCCATTACCACTGAGGGTGATAAAGTTCTCTCACAAACCATATTATCTCTTACATTCATGCTTAGTATACTGACTACTATTCTGAGGGAAATACAGCTTGAATGATTCTGATAGTATCCTTGGAAACACCCAGCCACCAAGACACTTTCTCCACTGTCTTCTGCATTGTAAAGAATATGTCGTGATTATCTAACACTGATCTAATCTATTATGTCAAATACAGTACAGTAATGTAAAACTTTATTTTATTAGTCCAAACAATGGCATCCTTTCCCAGAACTCGTTTATTAAATTGCAAGGGTGCTGCTTTCTGTGTTGAGGGCAAAGGGTGGGGGTGGACTTTGCACCCTCCACATTGACTGTATCATGAACTTCGGTCCTGGACTGTACCATAAAATTTGGTTCACTCCCTCCAGTACCCTGCCGGTCCCTTGAAAATCCTGCAAGTGTGATTCGGCATCATTCGCTTCACTCTATCCGCCACACATAACATGTTTAGTGATTTAGGAACTTTATGACCAACTTAGGGTCACACTGGATAACACCCTTCTCACATGTGTCTGGACCGAGGCTCGAACCCTTGACATATTGGTGGGAGTTATGCGCATTACCGCCGATCTGTTCTTTTTTTTACTTTGTTATAAATTTTAATGTCTTATGTTTGTACAGTACTGAAAGAAACCGGAGTGACCTGGGTATCTGGGGAAAACCTATGATTTTTGTTAGGGTCACACTGGATAACACCCTTCTCTTATCTGCATGCAGCTGGGGACACAGTGGTGAGATATACTTGAGAATACTTGTACGTGCAAGTGCAGTGGGTCACATGTGTACAGTTTACAGCTGCGGTGACTAGAAATGTGAGAGGTTTGTGAGTAAAGGAATGCTTGTGGGTGTCATGATATTTATGTGCTAAATAGTTACATCATAAGATGTGTTTAACTACCTAACTGATAAAATACTGTAAATCGATCATAAAATGTAAATTCTGTTCTATTTTCATATAATATATATAATTTTGTCCAGGATAACAAAAGATACAACTTATAAAAGTGGCTGTGTTTGTGGTGTGGGACCATGGATCATAGCTTTCACTGTTGTACCCACGGAATATCATTGGTTGCACCCCTTCAGATGCCATCGAGATATTTACATCCACTTGGCGGCACAACTTGTAAATTGTCAGTTGATATTCATATTTATGGCAGATCACCATTCAAAAGGCAGTAAGAAAACTGTGATAAGATAAGTTTTATATACTGTACAGTAAACTGTAATAGTGATCGACAGTAGACTCAGCATAAGATTTATCCATTTTGTGTTCATTTTTTCACAATACAGTACAGTATACTGTACTCTGTAATCATAAGAATGTTCAGATGAAGTAGTAACATTGTGTATGATGTGTCAAAATTCTGTTTATCGTAATATTTAATGCTCATGTCATATGTTTTCCAGCTGCAGTGTATTTAAAATTACTGCTGATGTGTGTCAAGTCACTTCTTGGAGGAGAGAAAAATATGTAAATTTATGATGTCTTATTAAATACTACATTACCCGGTACCCTAGAGCAGTGGTGTCAAACTCAAAACCTTTCGAGGGCCAATTCTTATTTTAGTTACCCTCTTCAGGGCTAACATAAGTGCTATATCACATATTTGCAGGATTGAAGTTTATAGCTTCATGCATTGCCTTACCTGGTGTACCAGGAATACCTCATTTGGGTTTGTCTGATACTTAAGCATGTGAAATTCATTTTACTTAAAAAACATGATTAACGCTAATAATAGGATAGCAAAAGGCATATAAATTCATTATTTTGGGGCTACAATTTATTATAGAATTCCATTTGTGTTTTGAAACTTAAGAGCTCAATCTTGTTACGACAGCTATGTTATGTACATGCAGAACAAGAACTATCATGCAACTCACAACTTTGACCTCATTTTCCACTCCATTGCAAGCGTTTTTCTTCCACAAGTTTTTCGTTATTTGGCTGCAAAGGTGATATTCCAAGTTTGGGGATGGCATCCAAGTGCTTATCAGTAATACGGGTTCAGTACTTCATACCTAATTCAATCATAATTTCAAGGGCTGATAAATTTTACCGTCATCCCGCGGGCCACACCTGACCATCCCAAGGGCCACATTTGGCCTGCAGACCATGAGTTTAACACCCCTGCCCTAGAGGGAAGAGGCTATCTTACCTAAGGTCTTAAGATTACTCCTATAATTATCAGTCTGTTGGCTGACCTTTGGATATTGATTCCCTCCAGTAAGCAATGAATAAACATAAAACTAGCTTCTTCTCTCCCACAGCTAACACCATTAGGCAATACAATCTTCAGGGAGGTGCATGCTGATGACTTAGATGCTGGTAATGTACTGTTATCTTCATATTATTTGCATGTGGATATGACTGTAAAATTAAGGATTGATTATGAAATCCCATTATTTTCTTGAGCCTGGCATTCTACAACCTGAGTACAAGAGCAATGTTAAGCCTTAGGCAATACCCAGAATACCAGTGGCTAGGAATGATCAGAGTGTCTCCTTTAATATCAAGCTCCTTTCAGTTCTGGTAAACTTCCAATCTAACCTAGGAGAGGAGAAAGAGTTTTCAAGCTCTCTATATCTGGGCCAGCCATAAAATGGGATTTGGGGATCAATTTCATTTATTGCCTGCTTGGCTCACGTAAATTAAGAACCAAACAGACTGCGTAGAGCTGCAGAAAGATCTTGATGAGCTTCAAGAGTAGTCGAAGAAATGGCTGCTAAGATTCAATGTCACAAAGTGTAAGAGGATGCACCTGGGTCGCACCAACACTAAGGAGGCGCATATGTTCCAACGGGCTGAAGAAACTGCATTAATGGAGACCGAATGCGAAAAGGACTTGAGTGTGGATGTTGACAATGAACTGAAGATCTCGAGCCATTGTGAGAAGAAGGTGAATCAAGCAACTAATAATAATTTAAAGTATCATAGGTATAATCATGAATGTTTTGGTGATTTAGTGGCTTGGCTGCTGTTGTACTTTGTCTTCTATCAGCTGAAATCGTGTCATCAGCCAACTCTCAAATGCGCTCTGCATGAGGCATCCACATTCAAAATTGTGTTCCCTTTCTTTGATTTGAATAAACTAAAGCTGAGAAGCCTTGTTCACACAGATATGATGTTGGCATCTGCACCAACATGGTTGTCGCTTGCTCGGCCAACTCCTTATTTTCTGGAATATCCATAAGTGTAACCCAGAAATACATGGTGTGTACTAATGTCTTGAAGGTTGCTTTTTGAGTGTAATTCATCCGGAGCTCCAATAGAGCTTCAGAATGGTTAACACCATCATTAGCAAATGAATTAAGAACCCACATGCTGGAGTTCAGGTGTTCACTCTCACTCTCTGGGAAATACACGTGAGGTTTTCCTGAATCAAGGAAAGGTGATTGACAACCAGGCAGGACATTCACATCTCCAATGTCTCCTCTTCTGCTGCCTGCACCCTGTGTTCCAACCACATTCTCTCATAAAATTATCAAAAGTTGAGAAATCAGACAAATTGTTCTTTTCTTTGTAGCCTCTCCACTTTTGCACCTTCAGTTTGAATCAATAGCAATTAAATGCCAGGTAGCGACGTGTCCTCCTAATATTACTTATTAAGTAATTATAAGATGTTTTAATTGCCTGTATGTTGGCCTGGTGAAGTGGCTAGGAATTAACATACCTAGGTAGCATTTGCTGACGTCGCATTCGAGCTATATCACAAATACTGGTTTTTAGAAAAAACAGCTTTTTCTCACTGCTGTGAAAATATCCCTACCTTTGCCTTGGAGACTCATGTTGAGTTTGTTCAAATGATCAAAAACTGAGACCATGTATGGCAACTTTGCCAGCCAAAAGTTATCCTGACATTTAACTGCCATGGGGTTTGCTTCCTCTGTGAAGAAAACACACAATTGTTCTCTCAGTACAAGCACTGTTCAGAACCTTCCCACGGGATAACCAGCATGCCTCGGCATGAAAGAGCAGTTTGGTGAAGTTGGCTTCCATTACTTTGCACAACCCACCGAACATTGTGTGTTTTTTGATGATGTCATCGAGAAGGAGCTCAAAATCACTCTTTTCATTGGCTGTTGCAGTCTCTTTCAGTTCCTTAGCAACAAGGGCCTCTCAGTGAATTACACAGTGAATTGAAACACAGTTAGGTGGTACAGCTTCAATTTTCGCCGCAACACCATTGATTGCTCCAACCATTGCCGTCACACCATCTGTAGTGACGGATTTGCATTTCAACCATTTAGTGCCCTCTTCAATCATAAAATAATTCAGTTTCTGGAAAATGTTCTCCGCTGTTGTTTCAACCCCCAATTGGAGGCAGCACAAATAGTGTTCAACTATGGTCTTAAACTCTAATTCTGGAAAGCGACAGTACACAATCAACTGCGCTTCCCCTCCCACATACTGTATGTTACTTCGTCCAGCTTCATGGTATATCAACACAAGCCGTGAAAAATAGAGTGAAATGCTACCTTGCCTATTTTCTCCACAGCAGTCAACTGGGCACTGACTTTTAAATTTAAAATTGAATCCACATCCCAGCACTCTGTTCTCTTTGGTTGGCATTTCAAATATTACGGGTGATGTCATGTTTCCATACAAATACTGTAATGCAGGCGACACACACATTCACACGTGTCATAATTCATTCAAATCTCGTCCACCCAGGTTGAATAACACTGATCTAGACGGTCAGTCCTTCGTAATGATCTTCAAGAGTACTGTCACCCCGTCTAGTCCCCAAGATATGCTCGGGACTGTCAGTAGATTGAAAATGTCTAAAGGAGGGCAACCAGACTGGTGCCTGCACTTCGGCACCTCAGCTACCCAGAGAGATTAGAGCACCTGCAACTGCCTAGCTTATACTACAGACAGGCAAGGGGTGACCTAATTGAGGTATATAAACATCTCAAGGGGCACTACTCAGTTGAGTGTCCATACCTGGCGCTGGCAGATGCTTGCCCCACAAGGGGTCACAGCTCAAGATTGAAGAAGCAGCAGGTCCAGAAAACTGAGGGCAAACTTTGTCGGAATCTGAATTATGAACTCTTGGAACAACCTGCCAGAGAGTGCTGTGATAGCACCGAGTGTGAGCTTTTTCAAGACCAGATTTGACCAACACTGGAGCAGGTTCAGATACATTCAGGAGCCAGTGCATGCCCAATACTTGCCAACAGTGTGTAACAGAGACGTGACCCACCGCCCAAGCTGCTAACTAGCCGATCAGTGGCGAAGAGGATAAAAGTAAAAGTAAAAAAGTAAGTATTCGTAGCCAGGAAGAAACAGGAGGTGGTGCTAAATGCTCCAAATGCTGATTCCCATTTTCTAATAATAATAATTTGGGACAAGGATGCAAGCCATGTCCATCTTCTCAAAGCCACACAGTCCATTAGTGTAGTCTCATCTAATGACTCAAGAATGTTCACACTTAAGACCAGTTGTCTCTTTGTTGTAAAAAAATATTGGACATTCCTTTTTGGAGTATCATAGAAGATGTAAGAGACTTGAGCATTTTGAGTGGGTAATTATAAGATGAAATGCATCTATGCTAGCTTATTTAAACTCATTATTAGAGTTATTTCATCTCTAGGCAACCACATGTTCTTTGAGGAAACCTGATACAGTAATGACTTCTAGGAGGCGCATTAGTGGAGTGGGCAACGTGGTGGATCCACAGCCTCCACCCATCCGTTAAGGCTACATGTTCACTACTACCATCACCTTATTCAAGTTGATTTAGTATTGCAAGAGCCACTTCGTTTTAGGGGAATTTTTTAAATCACTTTTGGTGGCAAATCTGGTAACCAAATGATGTGGATATCTTTCTTCCTCTGTTGGATGAGTGTAACTTACTTGTAAGTAAATTTGAAGTAGATGAAGTGATTAAACAAAACAGTAGCCTGTGTTCTCTGATATGTATTGTTTCAATTGGGCAGATTTAGTTCCATAAGACATATTAGTATATGGGAGGAAGCCACAGCACCAGTCACCATTTTGAAGGGACTGTATACTCGATTCAGAAATATACCTTGGGTGATGTTTGGAGGGAGGGAGGTCATTAGGACACCTAATATTACAAGAGATGAATAGCTTCAAGCTAATTCTCCACTGTACAGTCAGTTGTAGCCAGGTATTCAGGGATTCTCAATTCAGGTTCCTTTTCTCTGAAAACAAATTTTCCTTAATCTTAAAGGATTCCTTTTCAGATTTGATTGGCTGTTTCAGAACCCCAATCATTTTGTCTGTAGTTACAGTTCAGGTTTAGTTTGTAATAAAACCTCCAAACTGACTGATTCTGGTTAATTTTCCGAAAGGAAAATTTTTCTTTCAGCAGTTTTCACAACTGTATTTTATATCTTCGTCACTTGCACTTAACTGTCCTATGCTGGATCATATTTCTTTAAAGGTTCGGGTTTGGGGTTGATGATAGGCTTCCTATATTTCTTGTCTTCAGGCTTCTTTTGGGCCAAAGTATGATAGGCTTCCTATATTTCTTGTCCTCAGGCTTCTTTTGGGCCAAAGTATGATAGGCTTCCTATATTTCTTGTCCTCAGGCTTCTTTTGGGCCAAAGTATGATAGGCTTCCTATATTTCTTGTCTTCAGGCTTCTTTTGGGCCAAAGTATGATAGGCTTCCTTTATTTCTTGTCTCCAGCCTTCTTTTGGGCCAAAGTATGATAGGCTTCCTTTATTTCTTGTCTTCCTTTATTTCTTGTCTTCTTCTTTTGGGCCAAAGTATGATAGGCTTCCTTTATTTCTTGTCTCCAGCCTTCTTTGGGCTAAAGTATGATAAACTTCCTTTATTTCTTGTCTTCAGCCTTCTTTTGGGCCAAAGTATGATAGGCTTCCTATATTTCTTGTCTTCAGGCTTCTTTTGGGCCAAAGTATGATAGGCTTCCTTTATTTCTTGTCTTCAGCCTTCTTTTGGGCCAAAGTATGATAGGCTTCCTATATTTCTTGTCTTCAGCCTTCTTTTGGGCTAAAGCATGATAGCCTTACTATATTTCTTGTCTTCAGCCTTCTTTTGGGCCAATGTAGGTACAAGGTTGAAATGCTTTATTGTTCCAATCTTTTTTCTTTCTTTTTTTTTGTAGGTGGGGAAGTTTAAAAGATTTTTCAAGGGCACAACCTTAGCCCAATTTGGAGAAGGGTTCAGGATGTAGGTCCTCTTTGGAAGTGGGTTTTTTTGCATGTAGTGTGGAGAAGTTAACTTTCTCAATAAATTTTTTGTATGCGGTAAGAGTGAGAGAAGTTCTAGGAGAAGGAGTTTCCCCAGAGAAAGAAAAGTCATCTTTAGGTCAAGCCTTCTGCCAGGTTCACTGA